ATTATGAATTTCACAGCAACTTGGATGGACTTAGAGTCTATAATACTGAGTGATCTATCACAGAAACAAAGAACTGAGTATCATATGTTTTCACTCATAAGCGGACCTTGAACAATTATTGTAATACCACAAGAAACGATTGGCAGTAGTGGGAAACTCCTGGGGGGAGGGGGATAAGATTGGCAGTAGTGGGAAACTGCCAGGGGAGGGGGGGTACACCTCATCAACAAGGGTACCTACATAATGAACATTTGTTTACTTTACCCTAAATTGTACCCCACATCTTTAAAATTTATAAAAATCATCAACTGGTAAATGGAATAAACATATTGTTATATACTCATGCAATATAATACTACTCAGCAATAAAAAGAAACACATTACTGATAAACAAATAACATGACGAAATCTCTAAATCATTATGCTAAATAAGATATCAAACAAAAAAAGAAAAAGACTACATACTATAAGGTGTCAGTTATATGAATTCTAGAAAAGGCAGAACTAAAGTTACAGAAGGCAAAGGACTAGAAAAAAGGATTACTGAAATGGATGCAAGAGAACCTTTTACAACGATAGAAACGTTCTATGTATGTCATAGTTTTTATGGTAGTTATGCCACCGCATATATTTGTCAAATTTCATCAAATTGTATGTTTCATTACTGAATAATGTCCAATTATAAAAGACTTCATTAAATAAATTATGGTATGTCTACAAGATGGATTGCTATGAAACTATTTAAAAGAATGTCGAAGCCAGGCTCGGTGGCTCAGCCTGTATTCCCACGTCTTTGGGAGGTTGAGGTGAGTGGATTGCCTGAGTCCACGGGTTCGAGACCCGCCTGGGCAACTTGGTGAGACCTCATCTCTACAATAAATAAAAAATTAGCCGGGCGTGGTAGCGCGGGCCTGTAGTTCCAGATACTTGGAAGGCTGAGGTGGCAGGATCACCGGAACCCAGCAGGTCGAGGCTGCGGTGGCCGGGAGCAGCCACTGCACTCCAGTCTGGGCGACGGAGTGAGACTCCAACTCAAAAAAAAAAAAAAAAGAATGTCATTGTTAAGTACTTAGTGAGACAGAAAGATATATAGTTATTTTTAGGTAGACAAAAAGGAAAATAAAAACAAACTTTGCCAGTCATGGTGTCCTGTGCCTGTAGTCTTAGCTACTCAGGAGGCTAAGGCAGGAGGATAGCTTGAGCTTACGTGTTTGAGACTGCAATGATCTTTGATTGTGCCACAGTACTCTAGTCTGGGCAACAGAGCAAGACCTTGTCTCTTAAAAAAAAAAATTTTTTTTTTAAATAAATCAATAAGTTATCTTAATAAACAAATAAAACTTTTCTTCCTCCCTATTATTTACCTATGAAAACCTTGGCATTAATAGTGTACTCCCTTTTTTATTTAATTACCTATACAGTTCTGCTTTTATAGCATAAGTATTTAGTATACAATTTATTTTTCAGAGCTGGTCTAAATATTTCAGATGCTTGAGGAACTCATTTACTAAAAAATTCTCACCTAGCAGAATGAAAAAGAAAATGCACAGAGAAGAGCTGGCCTGGAACACAGTTTTTCTCTCTGGACAAAGAATGTTCCTTCTTCCCTTGTCCTCATTTTTTAAAAGGGAGTGAGAAAGAAGTTTTGGGATCTCATGCCTCATCCTTGGAGAATGGAGCTGGCTACTTTCTCCTACTACTTCCCCTTGGGTCCCTCAGCTCTTGGTATAAGGTGCCCCTTGAGCAGGAGAGACACCTTTCAATCTGAGACAAAACCCAGGACAGGAAAAAAGAGGGCAAGTAAAAGAAGAGTATTCGCACTGCCAATTCTTCCTTGGTATTTCCTCTATTTCTACTACCCATGGTGGAAGTCTCATGACTCCTGCAACATATAAAAGGGAGAAAATGTCAGCTTTCATACCATGTCAGGGTTGAATACTTTTTGGACTCTTCCAAGTTTTGCCTACATGTTATATTTGCTGACTGGTTAGCTGATTTGCTGAGTTTACCCTTTAAACACACACACACACACACACACACACACACACACAGACGTCAACCTATTTTATATGTCAATAATGACTTCTAAGCCCTCTCAACATTTTTTCCATTGTTTTTAGTCCTGGTTATCATTTCCTCAGGAAGTTAAGGGGAACAGAATGTGGAACTGATAACAGAAACTCCAAGAAAAGGAGATAAAGGAGCTTTCTATGACCAATGAACAATAAAAGCAAACAAATTTCATTAAAAACAGAGATGTCAATCACCCAAATTTCCCTTTCAAAACAGAGTTTAATTTCTTTCTCATATAGTCAAGTCACATCTCAGCCAATGTGTGGACACAGACTTCCAGATATTATATTTCTGTGAATTTACACTTGACAGTTAAAGAGGTTCACGTACATTTCATCTTTGCATGTGGTCAAGTACCAAGAGATACTTTGTATGAAATAATAAATGCTAAAATAATGGCAGAGAATAAATAGTAACAGAGTGTTACATTAAAGTACATGAAAGTGACTTCATGTAAGGAAAGGAGAAGAAATTGACACTGAAAGCAGGACTCTTGAACTCAAAAGCTTACATGTGCCAGGCAAGTACCATAAATCCATTAGGCTGGTTGGGTTAAATATGTAGGAAATGCTAAAGATTAGCAAACTGCAGTCCTTGGGACAGAAAAAAGACCAATCTAAGAGATTCTATGAAGCAAAATAATGTAGGCAGAAGGACACTAATAAAATCCAACCCAGTGCCTTCTTTCTTGTTTGCCTCAACATTTAAAAATGAATACCAATTAGGAAGAGATTTACAATTTATCTGATTTATCTAGGGGAAAAAATGGATATCCTGAGGCCTAAAATCTGCCTACGCAACAGGCACTACCAGTTGGAATCTAAATGGGTTGTGGAAAAACTTCTGTAAACCTTAGGTTTTCGTATTTTTTGTTAAAAAAGCAAAAAAGAACCATTGCTTTTCAAAGCTTGTCAGTGTCCCCACATTTGAGATTAGCTAATGTAAACAGAGAAGTGCTATGCCATAAGAACCCTATGATTTGAAATGCTTCCATGGCTAAAGTACTTTATTACCATGTAAAAGTTTGGTTCAATATCAAAATAAGAGGAACATTACTAATAAATTTCACTTCACAGTAATATATAGCAATCAAAGATAGGGAAAGACAAGTTTTATGATTAACTATGATCCACTGTGCTTGAAGAGATGTCTAATTCTGATGGCAAGATTTCTCAGTGTCAAAAGCTATACACCTGTTGAGGCCTCAGCTCACAGAGTCACCCTGGTGTCCATCATGAGTGAAGAACTAGAAAATGGACTCCAAATCCCTACTGGTGTCATTTGAAAAGAAGCCTACTCAATGAGACAGTTTTACATTCCTGGGACCAAAACAATTTGATTAGGCAATGGAACTCTTATATCATGAAATATCAGACTCTGAGATGACAATCTCAGTGTCTGGAAAAAACACTTCAGCTCACGTCACTATAAAAGTCAAATCGCCTAGCTAAAACCAATGGGCCATCTTAGTTTGGAGAAGTCCTCCTTCTTCATAGGTAAGCCTGGCAGGTGTCAAGTTAACTCAGAAGATCATTATTCTCAAAGCTCAAATATTTTGTATGAAATAACAAATGCTAAAATAATGGCAGAGAATAAATAGTAACAGAGTGTTAAGTTAAAGTACATGAAAGTGACTTCATGTAAGGAAAGGAGAAGAAATTGACAAAGCAGGATTCTTGAACTCAAAAGCTTACATATGTCAAGTACCATAAATCCATAAGGTTGGTTGGGATAAATATGTAGGAAATGCTAAAGACTAGCAAACTGCAGTCCTTGGAATAAAAGTAAGACTCAAATCTTTCTTCTGAGATAAGCAAACTATCGGATCCATTGATTTTTATGTGACGTTTCCAGATCTTCAAATATTGGCAATTACTTTTTTAAAAAAAGAAAATGTTCACATTTTTAAAAAATGTTAGCCTAAAATTTGGCCTGTGGGCTACCAGCTTGCAAGCTTTAATCTAAAATGTAGTTTTAAACAATGCTGTAATAAACAGAAAGATTCTTATATAACAATGATTATGCTAAGTTATGAAGCCTTAGTTTCTGCTTTTCCAAGAGGGACCACTCCATGTAAGGAAAGGATGGAAGTGATATCAGAACACATAGGGAGTTTTCCCAAGTTATCACTGCCTCTACCACCACCACCCCTGTACCCAGGGCAAATAAGAATTTCAGTAGAGAATACCCAGCTTGCAAAAGCTTCCTAAGAGCACTAATACTACCTCTCACCCTGGAGATCACTGACCTTGAGAAAGTAGAAAGCTTCAGACAACCGGGAGGGGTCTACATTATGAAGACCAAACTCACTGGGCCTAAGATGTCACATAGCATATGTGAAGTAGCTCTTAAAATAACAACTGCAAATATCAAAGATGACAAGGAGACCACAGTAAGTAAGTACTGATAGCACTAAATTAGTCATTTTTATCTTACAGGAAAAGAGAAAACAATCAATTGTGTGATTGTTTACTATGGAGAATTATAAAAAGCGGATGCATTTTAGGAATGTGTGTGTATGTAGACACATGTGAGTTTGTGTATATGCATATAAAAAAAGCAAGGATAACTTCTAGGTCATTTTAGGATTAGGTTTGCATACTCATTACTCAAGAAAGGGAGGGTACTGTCATACTTCCACATGATGCCAGACTACAGACAGAAAATAGAAAAAGGTTAACAAATATTTCCAAATGTTTTCTGCTTCCTATCCTATCCTTAAAACAACAACATCAAAAAACTTTTTTATTAAGATGACTAAATGTAATGAGGATCATTACATTATTTAAAAATCTGATGTACAAATAAAAGACATAAAGAAACATCTTTCTGTGACTTGGTAATGTCTCACTAACTTTTGCTATCATTAAGCTGCCTGATCTAACAATCCTGCTTGTAATTTTTAAGCTTGTGTTCTTCTAACCCACCTTATACCTTGGAGTCAAAGTCTTCTAGGTTGGCTTTATGGTCAAAGTAGTTCTGCAGTAGTTTATCCTCAGATGCCTGCAGCTTTTCTCCTTGGGACACAATGTCTATGGCCCTTCTGGGACTATCTGGGTAAACTGTAGGGATGGTTCCTTAATTTCCTTTCTGTTGTTGTTTTCCCTGCAAGTGGCAGAACCTGAAAAAGAGATTACAATCATATAGCGCATCTCTATAGAACTCTGGTGACTCTCTCAGGAGGACTGCCTGTGGACAATCAGAAAATTACTACCAATTTATCTTTTGAAGGAAAAGTTCATATAGTTAGGTGTCTCAGCTATTTACCTTCTTTGCTCAAGTGTATGTAACCTCAAAGATGTAACCTCCACAATCAGTAACATTCATAATATCTTATCCAGAGTTTGAAGTAAGAAGAGTTTTAACTGATATAGCAAATATTTTCTAAAAGCGTACCAAATATATTTTCCAGAATCACATTTAGCCATTCAATTACATGTAAACCTCAACAGAATTTTTACAAATAGTAAGAATGAAGTGGTTACATCACACATGCACATAAATGCACAATCCCTAGTGCCCTGATAAATACCCAGTAATAGTCTCCAATTTTCTGTAGAAGAGGAAAATTGTTCCCAAACTCCTAGAACAATCCTCACAAAAAGAACTGACTACATGCACTATCAAAGAATACAGTTTTCAACCTGACGTAATTTCTCAAAAAGCAAAGAAAGAGTATGCTATGGTTTGAATGTGATTTGTTTGGCCCTAACAAGTTACATGTTGAAATTTAATTCCCAGCATTGGAGGTGGGGCGTGGTGGGAGATATTTGGGTCATGAGGTGCATCCCTCATGAATAGCATGGCACCGTTCTCATGGGAGTGAGTTCTCACTCTTAGTTCCTGTAATAACTGGTTGTTAAAAAGACCCTGACACCTCCTCTCTCTCAAGACTCTGGCACAATTTTTCTCTCTCTCTTGCCATATGTTCTCTGTACACACCAGTTCCCCTTCGCTTTCCACCATGAATGGAAGCAGTCTGAGGCCTTCCCCAGAACCAGATGCTGGTGCCATGCTTCTTCTACAGCCTGTAGAACTGTGAGCTGAAGAAACCTCTTTTCTTTATAAATTACGTAGCCTCAGGGATTCCTTAATAACAACACAAATGGACAAAAACACAGTATTTTATGAGAAAATAAATAAGTTCATTGTAAGAAAAAAAGGGAGAAAACCTGACAAGTAATCCAAAGTAGGAGCTATATTATTTACTCTATGATCTGAAACATGACAGTTTTCTCTTTCAAGCCATAAACCTCTCCAGCTGACTCGTTTATTCAAAAGACACCTTTAGAAATCATTCCCCAGTTTTGATATTTTTTCAAACCTATTCTTTCACTGTTTTAGTTTTTCTCTTTTTACTTATGGAGAAGGAAAAAAATGCATGCACAAGCACATGTGCACTTCACACATATTCTTAAAGACTATGACTGAAGCGCTAAAACATTTGTCTAGCCAGCATCCCATGCCATGATTGTTCCTTTAAGTACCATTTTTCTGCAGAAAAGTATTTGTTTTAAACTCCTTCCACCAATTCAAATAAATTTTTTTAAAAAGCCTACTGTGTTGTAAGACAATTCTGTGTATCTTGTAGGTCCTGAATAAAATTTAATTGTTGATTATGATGATGACATAGAATAACTAAGGTTAAGGTCTATCTAGATTATTTTGATAAGCTAAGTATTTTATTTTTTGCCACACTACACAGTCTATGTTCTCTAATCTCATTAATAATAGGCAGATGGATTACAAATGGTCAGCTGCAGAACTGCCCCAGTCATCTTCTCCTTGCTCTGTCTTATGATGGACTCTGCCAAGCTCTGGAAAAGGAGAGGACATTCTTTCTTTTTCAGGAAGAATAACGCGGACAGAGTATGGTGAAGAGTCCTCTGTGCTCCCTGCAGTTCTTTCTGCCTAGTTCCACCCCCACAGACCACCTTCCCTTGTCATATTTTCCATAATTTCTTACCATCCTAAAATGGCAAGTGGGAAAGCAAAAAAGAATAAAGGACTACGGGGTAAGATTAAGGTCTTCTCTCCTACCCTCTTTCTCCCACTAAGAAACAGCGGAGGGAAGGGAGAGGATAGAGTGAATCTTGCTAGTCATACTTAGGGAATTTCTCTGCCCCTGTCCTCCTCTCCACCATCACATCACATACTGTGTGTGTGTGTGTGTGTGTGTGTGTGTGTGTGTGTGTGTGTGTGTGTGTGTCTCCTTGGCTCCTGTCTATGTAAATCAAACCATAGCTCAAGGAGCATCTTTCCTCTTCTTCTTCTTGCCAATACCTCCTTCAGAATCCAGCTCCAAATCACAACTTCAACTCCTTCCTTGATCTTCCCAGCTAGAAAGAAGCAGTTACTCACAGCAGCCTGGTACTTTTGGTCAATTCTTCTCGTATGAGGCTGTCTTGGTCTTATAATTACATGTGCTTACACCTCCAATCTCTCCTATCGACTGTGTACACTCTGGAAAGTAGGAACAAGACCTTAGTTCCCTGTACACAATAAGTGTGAGTGATAGTAAAATGTATAAGGTTTTGATTTATATGTACTCTGTAAGGAACAAATCTATTATTGTCTATTTTGTTATTAAGAGCACAGGGTGTATATTTTCACACCGTTTGTATGCAATGTCAAAGAATAAAGGTTTTGGCTTGTTCTGAAGCTACATATAATATTTATGTGAACATTCTGTACAATTTTCAAAGACAACCAAGATAAAGTGTAGTACCCTCTGTAACCTCCAGGGGGTCAAAGTGCTCTGCATTAAAAATTACTACCACTGTACTAACACATAGTTCAGTTATAATTAACCATCTCTGATAGTTACTCAAGCCTGGAATATCAGAAATATTTGTCTTAATTCAGCTTTAAATCTTTACTAGGACAGACACATTTATATAGTTACATTTGCATCCCAAATTTCCAGGTGACTAACATATTAAGTTCTATTAGAAAACCAGGGAGTTCACCAAGTGGCAACCGAACCTCATCTTACTTAAGAAACTGCACTAAGCAAAAATAATTGAAATTTATTTTAAAAATCGATGGTCCAGATTCTTCAGCAAAAATTATTTAAATTTAAAATTAAATTTATTAAAAAAATAAACTGTACAAGGTATTGTTTCACTTTGCACATAATTTGTGTGCAGGGCAGAAGTCCAAAGGTGATATGCTTATAAAGTTCAACACTGATTACTGCTTGTGAAAACACACAGTGAAGATTAATTCTTAAAGCTCTAGTTAAGAAATACACTAGTTAGTCAAAAGGGAAGGGAAGATGTTTCTTTTTAAAAAACATAACCAAAATTGATATTTTTAATGGTATATCTGGTTTTTAATCAATGTACATTCACAAAAGGAATCATGTTTTAATTTAACAATAACTTTTGCAGATCGCTCTCCTCCTAAGTCATTAATAAAATTAAAAGTTGTAAAGGTTTATTTAAACAAAGTCTCTCACACTACCAAGTACTAACCAGTAGGAGTTTCTGGAAAATCTCATTCAGAAAAGTTTGGTGATTTGACAGTGGTTCCTCATGAATGGCTCATTCAGGAAGCAAATGATCCATTATCTTTGCAACAGCATTTTTCCTCTAAGCCATGTGACTAATCCTCCCACAATCTCAGTTTTGCCCACTATACACTATGTTCTTGTCCAGCACACTCCCCACACATTCCTCCCACTTCTTATTCAAGCCATCAGAGACCACGATATAGTCTACCAAAGACTAGACAGTCCCACATAGCTACTAAGTGAATGCATACAGTGCAAAATGGGAACAAGATAAAGCAAGCTCCATCATTCTGCACAATAATAAAGGGAAGATTCTTAAAACAGTGAAGACAATAAAGACAACCAGAATAACCAGAAGAGTATTCATACAAAGTTAGTAACTGACACAGCAGAGTCTATTTCATACCCAAAACAAGAGATGAGACACTTCTTCCAATTTCCTACATGTACATATGTGGCCCATGGTTTTGTTTCAATACTTACACCACTTCTACAAAGAAGGATTAGTCTTAATTTAGGGTTAAACATCCTACATTGTTTTTCCAGAAAACTGTAGCCCAAGACACAGTATACACACTCCATTATCTTACTTTGTCTACTTTCACTACTAACTACATTAGTTAGTGAAACAATAATTGTTTTGCTTTTTTTCACTGGCAGCAATGTTTAGATAACAAATTGATTTTTCAAAATCCCAAGTACAGTGAAGGCTCTACACTGTTCTAAGACCTTAGAGAATACAGTTTTAGTGCTACAACTCAATAGATTTTATGGAAACAGGTTTTGCTGGGGTAACTTTCTGAAGATAAAAATACAAATGTTAGTCACTGTTGCCTAGCAACTACTGTGGCTTTTTTTTTTTTTTTGTCAATGACTGGAGAGCAGAAGACTTTTAACCTAGGAAAAGTATCTAATCTCATTAGTGCTATATATATCAAAGAAGTTAGAGTTCATCAGCTGAAATAACATATAAGAGTTTTTATATCTGCCATTAAGCATTGACTGATTTATCCAAAACAGTATATCAATTATGTAGTTATGATATACACATCAAAACCAGACACAGAAAGAGAATTTAGAAATGTAACAATCAACAAATACAAGTCTCCTTCCCTTAAGCAATTTAGAAGTTTAGTCATACATGGCAGCAAAAAGTACATGAATAATCTGTTTAAGTTACAAAAGCAGAATATGTGCTATGACTATTCATGGAATGAAAATCATAATTCTAGCTTAGAGTTTGTGGGCTGAGTAGAAGCAGATAAGAAGTTGATCAAAAGAGGAGGCATTTTAAAGACGAATAGATTCGTGCAGGAAATGGATACAAAGGGGTGAATAAAAGGACATTTCAAACAGTGAGAAAAGTGTATGAAAATCGAGTGATGGGAAAGTGTTGTCTGTAGTTCCAACACTCAGAGCTTAGGGGACAAAAGAAGAGAGTGGGGAGGGAGAGGAGTCAGAGACAAGGTGTGGAACAGTGTGGAAGGTCTGAAATGCTGGTGAGAGACTGGACTTCACTGCGCGGGCTGTAAAGAACAGGAACAAAGTTCAGACAGGAGCCACGTGACCATGCTTCAGGGAGGCAGATCCAGTGGCAGAACAAACTGGATGG